CATTAGAAGAGAGGTGCTAAATAAATGAAGTAATGCAATATTAAGACTCTCTCTGTCATAAGCAGTATCCACTCACTCCTGATAAATTGCTCGCGGTCAGGTGCCGGCTTGCTGCTAAAAGGACTTTCGAGCCAAGGGCTGGCAGCAGAGGCCCTGCTCGCTTCTCACTTATGCCGGGTAATTTCCCCAGCTTCTGGCCCCGCCGTGGCTGGTGTGGGCTCCCAGGTCCCACCGTGCTGCGGGTGGCGAAAGCTTCTGGGTCCTCCCAAGCCCAGGTTGCATCTTGCTTGGCTCCAGAAGCAGCTGCTCTGGGAGATTTTGGGGCTTTTTTGCAGCAGAGCAGGGGCACCTTCTTCCCCAAGTTCCCATCGACTTGACGAATGAGGGAGGAATCGAGGCCCCAGGTTTCAGGGAAAACTGGAGCAAAGACAGTAAGAGGATTTCCTCCAAAGGGGGGCCATAAAAAAGTTAACTTTTTGACAAGTTTATGGATTTTTGGCACTGAAATTACTGCTTTTTCAGGAGGAGGTATTTTCACACACCAAAGAGATTTGGCAGAATAACGCCGCACCCTTCGTTGTTTGTGCGGACCGAGGGTGGCCACATTGGCATGCGGCTCTGCGGCTCCCTGCAATGGAAACTTTGACAAAAGCCATTTGCGAATGCTGCATCACTGCTCTGGTCTCCTGCTGCAATATCGTCTCCTGCCATTAAGTGCTGCAAACCCTGGAAGAAGTTCAAAAGCAGAGGCAGAGACACACTTGCAAAATAGCCTTTCGGCTCCGGTTGCTGACCCGTGGTGAGCTCCTCTTGAGCAAGCCCCTGCCCCGGGTCCCAGCAAGACTGGCGAGAAGGCTTTCAGCAAACATCGCCTTGGCCCGGTGTTTTTTCTGGTTCTGCTCCCCTCGGCTTTGGCAGGGACCGATCTCACCGGGGTCCGGCGGTTTGCTGTTGCCGTTGCAGACAGCCATCACACAACGTGGACACGTAAGAGCAGAGGAGAGCAGTGCTCAACCAACACCCCTCCTCCCTTCCCACCCAGTCCCCCCTCCATCCCCAGCGAAAACGCGTTTGTGCTTCTCCACAAGGAGGGTTATTTCTTCTTGCTTCAGAGCACAGAAAGCCTTGCAGAGCAGCCGCTGGCACCCTGGGGCTGGCTATAAAAACCATAATGCAGCATTCAGGTGTTCAGATGAAATGTTGCTCTCTTTATTTGTACTTTAAAAAAGAATGATCTGGGTAATGACAGCCTTACAGCTCTCGCTCAGGCTTGGCATGAATTTACAAACTCTCTCGGCGCTCCGAGGAGAGAAGTTGAGCTCAGTACCTGCCGCACGGCACGCCGTCATCCTGAACAGCTCAGCGCTTCCCCGCCTCAGCCGGTTGGTAACCTCAGAGCCGCGTCTGGCCTCGACTCGGTAACACAAGTGGCCGTCACCCGCGAGCACTCGGTGAACAGAGAGGAACCGGCGATGCCTGATAAACTTCACATCTGCCTGTAAGCCCAGCCTGTAGCTTGGCAGCAATGGGGGGGGGTTTGTTGTGGTTTTGTGGGACACGTTAAATGAGTTTAATGAGTTACAGCACCAGCAGTTAAAGACACTAGCTCTGAGCTACATGGTCTGTGCAAGCTGTAGGTTTTGTTTCTTTACCAGGTGCTTTGGGGAGGGAGATTGAAGCAGGGCTCCGAGTTAGCTTCCTCACTCACGCTGGCTACTGTCTGTAGAATGGACGTCGTCGTTACATCCTGTACGTGCCCCATGCCAGCGCAGGGCAACAGACCCGCGTTTCACCGCACAGCCCCAGACCCCGCAGCTGAGGCTGCTGGATGGGAGGAGAACGGGCAGTGAAGTTGCTCCACGTCCCCCCGGGGAAACGCGGGTCTGGGCTGAGCAGAGCCACCGGCCCCCCCAGCTCACAGCAGATGCTGCAGCCCCCCGAGCAGGCAGCTGCCTTTCCGCAGCATAGCCCTGTCTCGCCACGGTGGGCCCCTTCCTCCCTCCCAAGCACGCAGCCATCAGGGTGAAGGAAATGGATGCTGAAAGTTTCTTAACTGGCACTTAAAAAAAGGTCACATCAAAACGGAAAGCTCAATTTGTTCCTCAGCATCGCCGTCAGTTACGCATGACGGTGCAGAGCGCCGGTACGCTCTCATCATCTGGGAGACCTCCTCACGCTGGAACAGACAATTTAAACAGAAAAATGAACTTCGTCGTTGTTGTTAGCCTAACGCTGTGGGAAGAGAGGGATCTCTGCAAAGCCCCTTTGCTCTGCCCGTTGCCCAGCTCCGATACCCCAAAGGGAGCGTGGTGCTACTCACAGGTTAAGTCTGTTTGTCAGCATCCCCAAATGAGTTTCTCCACGTGCTTCCCGGCCAGCCGAGCCTCAGCAGCGTGGCTAGCTGGTGGCTGCAGCAGCCCGGGCGCTCCAGGCTCGCAGCCGGCAAAGGCAGGAGCCGCAGGGGGAGGACGAGTGCCCAGGGCAGTGCCCAGCTCTCTGGGCTGTATTTAAAAGGCAGCTGTACAAATTAAACTCCCCCCGAGGGAGAAGCACTTTGCACGGTGACTCAGAATCTCTATCAATTAAGAGATTTTGGTTTTTGATGTTACCAGCACCACGTTTACCTGCAGACAGGCCCGAAGCACCGACCTCCCTCTTCTCATCCGTTGTCACACCCGTACCTGGCGGCCGACCCAGGGGACGGATTTACTGAGCTGGCTGCGCGGCCGCCTCCCCGCCCGGTGCAGGAGGGAAGGCGGTGGCTGCGCATCCCTCTGTGCATCCTGCGTGGCCGCATCCAGTCCCGTAAGCGTTTCCTACTGTCCAACTGCAGCCACCTTCCCACCTGGATGGCCCTGGAAGGCGTCTCCTGACGGACACAAACCTCCCGCGGGTGTTTCCGATCGCTCGCTGCTATGCATCCAGGGAGACAGTGAACTCAACCAGTTAGAAATACAAAAGCTTCTACACGTTAAAAGGACCATGGTAAAAATAAAGTCACCCAGTACAGACGCCCCCAAAAATGGTAGAAGTTTTATTTTCCTCCGTCCAGATATTCTTTACAGCAGGTTTTCTTAAAAAACTATATACATACATATATAGTATTGTGCATTTCAGTATATGCTCCTAGAGTCTCTAGAAAAGGAGAAAGTACAGAGAAATCCTCACGGTCCATTCCTGCAGCCCACGCTCTTTCCTAGGAAGATCACCACTCCCCGGGGCAGGACAAAGCGCTCGCTACAACCACTTCTGCGCAGTTTTGGCGTTGCTTGTGCAATAGGTTCATGTCTCTACCGTGTGCCTCTGTAGCATGGACAAACTTTGAACAATTCCTTCAGTCGCAGACTGACGCTACATGTAAGATCAAATAAGTCATGGGCGCAGTAGTTTCAAGATGTAAAATTGCTTTAAACACAATTTTGCAGGATAAGCAGAGCATACATTTTATTAAGAGACATGATGAGTCAGCTTCAGAAGTCCTCGATACCTTATCACAACAACACTTAGAGGGAAAAAAAAATCAAATCTAAGTTAGAGTCACTCAGCTGTTTCCTAATAAATTCTTACAGCTGACAAAGAGGTTTTTCTTTTCTTTTTTTTTTTTTCCTGCAAGCAGTTTTAAAAGAGTTATAAAGAGCTATCTGGGGAATGAATTAGTGTTTCAAAACCAAGTTACAAATCTATAAAACAGATTAGTATACTTCACATAAGGCCACAAACACTGCAAACTGTCAGTGTGACTATTTAGGATCATTAAACTTAATCTTTTAATTAGCATAAGCTTTATACCTCCATTACTTATTTTCAATTCCAGGAATAGATGAAGACAACTTCCCAAGCCTCACGGGAGATGCGGCTGTCAGGGGGGAAGAGAATCGGAATACCGCTGGAAGGGGCACCTCTTGCTAATTGAACATCCAGGTATTGGTCTTGCCTAATCCAATTCCATTTGAGTCTATTGAGTGAGCAACAACCAAATGGTTTTGAGACAGTAAAAAGGCATGCACAGCCAAATCCACTTAGCAGAGCTAAGAACACAGATCTGTTGTGCTGCGGGGCTCACCCAACCTGCAACTTTCAACATGCTTTAGCAAAACAAATTGTTACTTCCCGGTGGTTTTGTTTTTAAAGCCATCAGTGCAACAGAGCCTTAGTATTTCGAGTCGCATCAGAAACGGTGCATGTGAGTAGTCAGTTTTGAACAGACCTGCAGCATTGCGGGGTTGGTTGGGTTTTGGGGTTTTTTTGGTAAATAGCTTCTGAAGAGAAGTTACAGGCACTGCTTACCTTGACAATTCGGACCATTGCTTTCAATTCAAGTTTTAAAGTGCAAAACTTCATAGAGTCTTTGGGTAAAAAAGTCAATTCCCATACGAAGCTGGCAAAGAAAGAGCCAGAACACGGAGGAGTGACTGACAGCTGTGAGAGTATCACAGACATTCACAACAAAAGCAAGATCTCTGCTACCTCTGATTTTAACACTGCTAGCAGCTGCTGCAAATCTCCTCCCCTCCGCCTAGGCAGGTGATGTGTTCTTCAAGGAACAGTGGATTAGTAACAGTTGTGCTTGCAATTGTATTTGCATCTGCAGACCTTTGTCTAGAAAAGTATATACAGAGAGACTTTGGTGTTGCATAGTCTTTTTTTCAGAGAGGAACAGGCACTGCTGAAGGTTCTTCCATGGTATATTGCCACCTAATACTGTAGATGCTCTACACACCTGCCAATAATACATGTAAACTGTAACAGCTATGAATAAATATGTTCAAGAGCATCTCGTGGTTTAGATAAAAGCAAGGTACAAAAATCTGCATTAGATTTCTAAAGCTTTGGTCTAAACTGTGCTGTAACATCATCTGACTTGGTGAAAAGCCCTCAGAAGAGTCCCTTGCATACAGCACCCGGAACAGCATGATGCAGTCCATAGACTTTTAGTGGTTATTCTCTTGTCAGCTCTTCGATGCATTTGACCTCAAAACATGAACAGATCATCTTTCTCGCCCGTGTTGGAATCCATTTTGTTCCAGTCTACAGGGGAGAGCGTTTCTGCACTCTGCATGTCTTGAGCCGTCAGTCCCGTGTCGAGGACGTGAGGGTTTGTTCTCGACTGAGCCAGTCTAAGAGGGGAGAAAAACAGAAAATAAGAACACAAATCCGTGCAGTTTATAGCCTGGATGCTTGATGCATCCGTAATGCCGAACCCTTGCTGCAGTTCCACATTTCAAAATCCTCCAATGGAATGAAATAATTCAGTAAGGGGAGAGCTGGCATATAACATTTGCAGCGCGCTCAAGTTAGTTGCAGCTTTGGTGCTGGTTTATCCTAACATTTCCCCTACAGGCATCCAGGGAATTTGCAGTCTGGACATCCCGTATATTAATGGTCTGGCAGAACAGTGATGTTTTCCCTCCCCTGAGCTATTGCTGGCGGGTGCATCGTCGTTAGCCGGGATCTTATCTCAGTGTAAAGGCTCTGCTGACCAAAGGAGCCGCCTCATTGCAAGGACTCAATTTTCATGGTGGTGTCTGGACATGCAGCATGTGCTGTAGCTCGCTGCCCACTGCACTCCCCGGCCCAAGTGTTTAACTCTTTGGGTTAGGACACAGCAGGACTCAGATGATGTTTAATGGCCCACAGGGTCAGCTTTAAGGGGTCTCCATCTCAGCGCATCCCCGATGTTTCACAAAACCTAACAAGCCCCAGTTTGTTGTTGTGTTACTAAATACCTCTGTGAAAGTGTAACACTGCAGCATCAATTCTCCCAGGGCCAAAGGTTAACTCAAATATTTGGTGTTTCATCCAGGGGAGGCATGGTGTTGAATAAGCCTCAGATTAAACTAGCCACACGCACGTTTTTCAATAAAGAAGAAAAATGACCAGCGATGACGTTGCGTCAGGAACGCTTTCAGAAGCATCCGCCTCGGTGGATGAGCAGTCCAAATACTGAGTCACCAGGAGGCCAAGGGTGATGCGACAGCTCGGCATCCAGCAATGCAAAACAAAAAACCGCAACCAACAACATCTGCTTAATTAAGTAGGGCAAGGAGCAGAGGTGAGGAAAATAGATGACATTAAGACATAAATTCAAGCAGCCCCTTTATCGAACACGAGGTGGGACAGGGCTACCGTGGAAGTGGAAGCTGTAAATCATTCCTGAGAGCCAAACAAGGCACAAAGGTCTGTTTCCTGAGGGCTGAGCAGGCAGTTTTCTTGCGCTGCTGCAAACCCCGGCAGAGTCGAGCGGCTCTCGTGGAGGTAACGGTGCTGGGCTCAGCCCTGCTACCGCCCGGCTCCCTCTTTCAGCACCCCGCAGCCGGAGGAGGAGGAGGTCTGGCAGCTCTCTGCTGCCTGTAGCATCTGCACCCAAGGCAGCTCTTTGCCCAACCTGGGGCCTCCGCAGCTCGCGCTGCCCGGGCTGCCTCGCACTGATCTGGAGGATGGGACCTGCGTACACTAAAGCATCCCCATCGCCCCGCAGGGGTCTGCCTGCATGAGGACAGGGGAAAACTCACCTAAAAGAAAATGGGTTTGTCTAACATTGCTGGCTTGCTCAGCGTGCATGTGCAAGGAAGCTCTTAATTTGGTTTGGAAAGTGAACGAAAGCCACATGAACTTATGGCCACAAACTCTGAACGTGCTCAGGTGCATGAAGTCAAAATTGGTGCATCAGACTCACCCTGATGCAACCGTGCTGCAACTGGGACCGGTGGAGCAGGGAGGCTGCCCTCAGCAGTTGCTGTTGGTTTGGGGACAGACGGGAATGAGGTCCCAGGGTTAGTCCAAACCTCACGGAGGGGCGAGGAAGGGTGAAGTCCCCCTTCAGAAGCCAGAAGCTGGGACCAGTGTCGCGGCAGCCAGCACGGGGGCTGGAAACAGACAGCTTCAAACTGCCCTGGTAAGCGGGAGCAGACACACGGCTTGGGGAATTAAATTCCCTATCACATACAGCCCCTCTCCATCCTTAAAAGGTTGTCAAAATATTTGGCTTATCAGCCAGCCTCAAAGCCTATCTTTCAATTAACAGCTGAGGCACTGATGGGGCAGCTGCCTAGGCCAGATCATGGTGGCTGATTAGATTAGAAGCATTATTAAAAGCCAGTCACTAGTCAAGTGTCCCAGGCTGGTCCCTGGTGGTGTGAACTTGTAAAGGGAGTTATTAGAATTACCTTGAAAATGCCTCGTCGAGACCATCATCCATTTCCTTTGTTAAAGAGATAAAAAGAGAGAGAAGTAGTTGCTAAGAGAACGCACAAAAGTGTATTTAGAGATCCGGCTCCGCACTTGAGCACAGCAGACAAAAAATATACATATATTGACTTCTGAGTGCCTAAAGCAACACTCCCCTTAGTAATCTGCCTCCTTGGGCAGGTTTGATCTCACTCTCTGCACAAGCTCCAGGGTAAGAGGTGTAACTCCGGGTGGTTTGGGCTTCCTCAGGGCAGATCCCAGGGCTCGGGTTTGGGATGCCGTGCTCCCCTCGCCACCCAGGGACAGGGCAGGGGCTTGGCCCTTTCCCACCATCTCCAAACCAGGCTAATTCTGCCCCGCTGCCTGCATGGGCTGGATCTGGCCCATCAGCTGGACCACATCGCTCTCTGGGGTTCACCACAGCCCTCAGCTCTTCCAGCTCTTGCCACGAGACTGGCACACGCTGTGGGTTCCTGCTAAGAGGAGGGACCTGGGCAGAGCACAGCAGGATGCTCCAGGCATTCCCTCGGGCTCTTCTGGATCAGGAACTGGGAAAGCAACTCTGCACCAGCACAGGGGGAACAGGCACTGCTTGGAAGCAGCTCTGGGATCCTTTATCTCTGATCTGCTCGTAAGGTTTCCCAGGGAAAGCATTCGAGTTGCCTGGGGGAGAAAGTTTTCCCATGCAGGAAGATGGGCTCTGTGCAAGGGGTTTGCTGTGGACAGACTTGACTATTCCCAAAATCCTGTGATGTGCTTACAGACTTAATGTAATATGTAAAGTATGAAAACTCTGCAAGAATGGAGGGATCAGAGACCACTGATAAGCCTCCAGGATTTGGTATGATTTAGAATTGATCTTCAGGTTTAACCTGAAAAGCCTCAGGCTCAGACCTGGCAGACTCAAGAAACAGGCTCCAGGCAAAGGCCTTTATCATTCAATTCTCCAAAATTTCGCAGACGGCGTGTTCCCAGAGAGGGCTCGTGGCAGGGACGAGGTCCCAGATCAGGTGGGGTTCAAAGACCAGCCCCAGCCCGGTTGGGGACGGAGCACTGGGGCATGGAGGGGGCTCCCCGATGGATGCACCCCTGGGCACATGGTCTGTGTTGTTATTTTTCTATTAGTGGTCCATGAAACAATTAAGCCAGATAACTGAGGACGTTTTAGAGAAGCCATCCATGCTCACACAAGCCAGATACAGGCACAAACAAGAACAAGGGAAAAATTAGAGTAATAACAAACATAAATATAACCTGGTTTTAGTGAACGGTAAACAAAAGCCATCAACATAATGATTTTTTCCCCTGAACAGAACAGTTAGGTGGTCTCTCAATTAAGGGACAAACCACTGAGAAATGCTGCTTAAGAATAAGTAATATTCAATTATCTGACAGCGGCGTTTCTCAGAGTGCCTCGCAATCTTGTTCATTTATTTACAGAGACTAGAAAGGGCAGTAGGTACTCGAACACTCATCGATCATTTCGAGTAGGACACCAAAACCCAGCTCGCTCGGGCACCTCTGAAACCCTGCGTGAGCGGCTCAGCCACCGCAGACCTCCCGGGAAGACGGGGTTATCCAAGAAAAAGCCCCGTGATGGGACCTGGAGCACATGAAATGGAGGTGGCATCGCACCCCCAGGCTCGGCACGGGTGCCCCGGGAACACTTACCCACACCACGTCGTTGTTTACAGAGGAGCTGGAGCCAAACGTGTTGTTACCTAAGTGTGGGGAGTTTGCGCTGCTGGTCAGGGGCGATTTGGCAGGATCTTCTAAATCCAGCAAGTTCCCTGTGGCTGCTGCTGTGAACAGAGCAGAGGAGGAATGAGGCTGGGGAGGAGATAAGAGAGATGACACAAAACCAAGCCTTTTTGCAGCAGTTGCTTCCCCTCAAGAGGGGAATCAAAGGGTTCCTCAAATTTCTTCAGCATGGCCCCAAGCTTCAGCACGGAGGAGCTGCATTCACCCCAGCTGGGCATGTGGTTCCAGCCCGAGTAATTCGTGACACTCAGATCAGGCACCCAAGATGCCCTCGACAGAGACGCGGGGGAGGACGGGCTGGCTCGTCCCTTCAGCCGCCATCGGGGGAGGCTCCTGGTACCCACGTACGCGCAGGGTGAATCAGGATCAGCCCCGAGCAAAGCTGAGACATCCCACCCCAGGACATCCCCCCCAGGGTGGGAACAGACCCCAGATGATAGCCTGAGCTCAGCCCAAGGCATAGATTCAGCATCTTAAAAAGATGCATCGCTATTTTGTAGGATTGAGGGCAAATCCTGCACTGGGTGAAGAAACAGTTTATGGCTTGGGGGCTGCTGGTACACCGCAGGCTGGGTTGTTTCAGGGAAGCCTCAAATCCTCCCCACCACCCTGCAGTAAGGGGGGATGCAGAGCATCCCCCGGGCAGGCGCCGGAGCCCATTCCTGCACCCGTGGCAGCCCCGGGCCTCACTTATCCTGATGTGCAACCATTTGTGACAGATTCCTCCAGTCCTGGACCTTCCCATGAAGAAACGAGACATGCAGCCTGGAAGGAAGCCCAGTTTAATGCTGTTTTCCTCCGTACCAAATCCTCTTATCTCCATGGCCAGCATGGGAGAGAGATTAGCCTTTTGTCCCACTTCTCCCTGGCTATGCATCTTGTGTTTCAGAGGCAGCGGAGGACCCATGGCCAGGCACTGAATTATGAGGGGTTTTACGATTTAATTGTGTTATTTTAATGCACTGCTCCCTCCTTAGGAGGCAGAGTGGCACCTGGATGCCCATGTCCTTCAGCTGATGGGATGGCAAGTCTTTTGGGTCCAAGAGAAACTCAAAATCAAACTTGGGATGTGTGGGTCCACGCTAAGCTCATAAGGACATTACGGCCAGTTTGCCTCCGGCAGAAGTAAAGAGATTTGGGGTGGCAGCACAGCCATGTACGAGGGGCTGCACGAGACACGGGGGAGATGGAAGGACCCGGCAGGCAGCCACCGTGTCCCAGCCACTGTGCTGAGGGTGACATCTCCACTTTGACCAAAGTGTTTGCTCCTCGCTGGTCTTCAAAGCCCTCCCAAGAGCCTGCCCCATTCAGGGGAAACCCCGCAGACCTTGGGCTGTTCCCCATCCCCGAGCCCGAAGCAAAGCTCCGCTGTTGGTGACTTACATGTGTCAGGACAGGCGGGGGCATCCAAGCTGGGGCTGCTCGTCCCTTCTCCTTCTGAGATGGACCTTTCCCGCTTCTCCTTCTCTGCAAAAGAGGGAGACCCTGTCACTGCCCATGGACCGCTTCCCTGCAAGCCTTTTGGGAGGAGGGACGGGGGGACAGGTAGGACAGGCCACCAGGTCTCCTCTGTCCACAGCAGCCCAGGCTCTGGGTGTGTTTTATAACCCTGTGGAAGGCGAAAGCAAAAATCCTGACAGCGGCAGGCTTGAGATACCACAGAGGAGCACCAGGTCCTCCACACCCTGCCTGCGAGAAAGAAGCGGAGCCAAAATTTGGCTGGATTTACAAGGCTGTCAAGAGAAACCTGGAAGACGCCTTAATTCGCACCAGAGGTTGGACCAACCTTAACAGCAGCCTGGAAATTTGGAGGGTGACGGGGAAAAAACACTCAAAAAACCCCAAAGTTGTCCCTTGAACATTCAGGTGAAGGGAGGGAAGAGGGGAAAAAAACCTCACCTTCCTTAGCCGCTTGCCAGAACTCAAATGCGATTCTGAAAGCCTGGGCTACGGTGAGGGTGACTGCTTGTGCCTGAAAAGACAGCGGTGAGGCAGCACGTTAATTGGTGGGTTCTCACATAGATTTAAATTGTTTGGAGGTTTTGCTTTGTAGATTCACGTTAACCTGGATCCAACCAGGCGTCCGCTCCGCGCGCTCCTCGCCTGCCTGGGGAGGGGTAATCAAATACTGGTGGAAGCAGAGACTTGCTCCACGTAGGACAGCCAGCTCGTTGTAGACACGTCTTTAACGGGAAGATGGAGGAGGCAGGGACATGGCTGTCACAGCCATCACACTGACAGATGGGGAGAGAAGAGCCACTCCTGACCACGCAGCTCTTCACGCACCCCACACCTAAGGGTGATCAAAACAAGTGCAAGTGCTGCACGGCTCTGGGCTCATCCTCGCAGCTTCCCAGGGGATGCGGCTCCCCGCTCCGGGCTGAGCCCACCGCAGAGCATCACCCGCCAGAACAACCAACATCTCAAAGGGCATCAGTGCCTGGGTCAGGCCCCCGGACCACGCCGCCATCGCCATGCCAGAGCCGGGGAGGGATGCGCAGAGCTGCAGTCCGTTCCTGCCCGGCGTCGTGCACAACCACGTGCATGAGGATGCTCCGAGAGCAACAGACAACGGGGTAAAACACCGCAAATTTGCAGCGCTCTCCAACAGGGAGCAACCTCGGAGGCAGGAGGAGGGAGACCCGCACGCGTCTTCCCTTGGCTCCCCTGAACTAAGCTGGGGCCACGCTGGCTTAGACCAACAGCGTGGGTTTGTCCTGCAGCAGCAGCAGGACACCTTCCCCTTCAGCCCCTCCATTCCTCCCCACGCCGAGAGCTTGAGTAGCATTAAAAAAACCGCACCACTTTAAATAGCCCAAGTTGCTGGAGGTGTATAAATAGTGACATAAATGCCAGTTTCATTAGGAGAAGTCAGAGCTCGTGAGCAGTTTAAGTGGAAGGAGATAACGAGTAGCACTGCACGGCTGGCTCGCTGCAGGAGCCTTCAGGCCTGAGTTGGTTTTACGAAGTTGCAAACTAAACAAATGCAGATCCGGGTCCGTAACTCGCAGCCCCTGGTAGCTGGGAGGATGGGGGCATCCCCCAAAGCCGGGCGCTCCCGCGCAGGAGCAGCGAGATGACCAGCAAACCTCCCCGTGCCAATTCAGCCCCCAATCCTCTGGATGTCGGAGCTATTTACATCTTTGATGGAAGTGCAAATGCTTTATGGCAAAAACTTAAATATGGTAATTAAGTATGAAACTCCTCGCAGCTGTTTACAATTTAAGCTGTCACATCTGAATCAAGTTTAATAGACCCAGCTACCGTTGAGAATTACCCATGAACTAAAAATATGGACTAATTATATGCCCGTGACTGGTAGCTGTGCGTACATTCAGGGACCCTGCCCTGGGGCAGGGATGGTCCCTGATCTGGGAGCAGGGCATCACCTTACCAGCATGACGTTCCTGCATTTGATAGACAAGAAAAAAAAAAAAGTCTATTTTTTGCCACAAAAGGCCTTGGAGAACTTTATTTGGAGGGACATGCACTGAGCTGATGTACCACTGATAATTCTTTTAGCACTGGAGAGATTTAAATTTTAATTTGCAGAGTGAGGCTTATCTTTGCCGTGCAAGGATGGGAGCGCACGCTGCAGAAGGGAGAGACGACTTGTAGCTTCCATTATTCTCTCCTCAGAAAAAAAGCCACAATGAATTGGGGGAAGCACAGAACATTAACAGAGCTGCAGTGGCCACGCTCCGGGCACAGGGATGCTCGTACAGACCCAGGAATCGCCACGTCAGGATGCACCGGGTGGGAATGGCTCTCGAGAGGTTTGTTTCCCCGCACATTCAGGAGACCCTGTTCTCCACTCAGGCATCAGGGGAAGGATTTCTGGGGGCAGAGGGATCCGATCTGCCCTTCTTCTCCCCTAAAGTGCCCTCCTGCCATCGGGAGGGGGCTCAGTCCCAGCTCTGGCCCCACTGGAGAGACCTCCAGGGCTCTCCTTGCCCCATCTGCAGCCAGTGCCCAGTGACCCACTTCTGTCCCTCGCCAGCTCGTCAGTGCTGGGTCCCTGCCCACCCTGATGCACTGAATCAGCTGGAAAAAATCCCATGAGCAGGTCCAAAGCAAGAGCCAGAGACCGTTCTCTATACGGAGGTCTCTGCTCCGAGCCCCATCCTTGGCACGCAGCGGGGTCTCCGGCGCGGCTCCCGCCAGGAGGACGTGGCCCCGTCTGCAAAGATGCCGCTAAAAGTTGGGCAAGGAGCTTCAATGGCAAGAAAGGGAAGGAAGCCAGGGCGGTGAGCCCAGAACTGCTGGCTAAATGCCCCCCGTCAATGAGGCTGCCCCCGGGCACCTCGCTGCCAGCCTCCCCAGAGACCTCCCTGCCTGCCAAAGCCTCTCCACACGCTGGGCTCAGGTGGGCTCCGATGGCCCGGGGACGTGGATGCTGAGCAGGGACGAGTCCCAAAGGCTGGGACGGCAGCACAGTGAGGGGGGTTCAGGTGCCGGTGCAGGACCAGGTGCTCTCACCCTCTGCCCCCAACCTTGGGGCAGAAAAGCTTTTACCTGCCAAGACGATGGGCTGAATCCAGCCCGGAGTTACACCCGCTCAAGAGCGCCGGCCAGGCACTGGGCAGCATTGCCAGGATAAACGGCCTGCGGGCAGGCAGTGACGGCAGCAGGAGGGTGGGTGCTCTCCCATGGCCATTCGCTGGGGCAGGGCCCCCCCTCGCTCTAACTAGGGGCAGAACTGTTTTCTCACCGGCATAGCCCCTCTCTGCTTCCTCCTCCTACAGCCACATCCCCATTTCTTCCTCTGGACTGACCATTTTCCGTTTGGTACAGAGGAAGGCATGGCACTCCAGGTTCTCATTGAGCTGGTTCTGGGCAATGTAGGCAAACACTTTATCGTGGATCTTGTCTGCCGTGCAGTAGGATATCCTGAAAGACAGAATGAAACGTCTTGTCCGGGGCGCTGCGTCCAAGGGAGATCAACCAACCCCTCCTCTGACCTGCCAGCAAGCGCCTACCCAGGGCTTCCAGCTCCAGGGCCAAGCAGGGAAGGCAGAGGGAGCGTGGGAGTGTTACCAGCTTCGATGCGACTCCTTCCCAAAGCAAGAGGAGTCGATGCCACTGGCTTGAGCATAAGAGAAGCCCAGAGCAACTCCTGCAGCCACGGTGTGAACCATGTGCGTCACGCGCAGAGGCAAGAGAGAAGAGAAAATGTTTCACATTGTGGGAAAGGACAGGTTAGAGAAGGTAAAGACTCTGCAGGGTGCCAGCCTGGGACTACGCCTGACAAATGCTCTGCCTTCAGAAGAGAGACTCTGGAAGATTTTCCTTGAGGATAAGCTCACAAGGAAAGAGAAGGACTTGTTCTCAGCCTACGATTTAATCTCAAGGCTCAAAGCAGGGAAGGCAGTTGATGCAGGGTTGCCCAAGAAAAGCTGTTGGAAAGGCCGAAATCTGGGCTCCGAGATCCACAGGAGCAGATGCAAAGGATGCTCTGAGCCCCCCTGAGCACACAGGACGTGGGGACAGAGGCTCAGCCTCCCCACTGGAGCATCCCCAGGATGGCCGTGTCTCTCCCGGCCACCGCGCAGGGCAGGGCTGACTCCGAAATGCCAAACAAGGCTCTGGAAGAGCAATAGGCTGACCTGGGGAGACCAGGCTGTGACCGAGGGCTCAGCTCCCTTCTGCAGGGCAGCGGGTCCCTCAGCATCAGCCAGTGCCATCTCCCACGAGTCCATCCACGCCCGGAGCTGCAGGACTGAGCGTCTCGTCTGAAGCCAGCAAGCACCGGCCAGAGCAGCCCCGGGTTTTTAGCGCAAGGCGGCAGGCGCTAGCGGTGAGCAAAGCCTCTTCCCTGGGCACGCAGTAAGTCAAACAGGTGTTAAGGAAAGAGGAAACCCGAGGAAAAAGTGGGACACTTCAGTAAAAGTTTTCCCATGGCCCCACGATGCCCCTTCAGCTCCTGCTCTCGCTGCCCCTGAGAGTTTGCAGGGAGGGGACTGGAAGGTCCCAGTTGCCAGCAGATGCTGGGACTTTAAAAAAAGCCACATTCAAAATTTATTTACACTGTGTTAGTTCCTTGCTGCATGTAAAGATGCCTCTGCTCAATGGCCTATATTTTGTTTTCCAGAGCTGAGCCGTGCTCTGGGTTAAAGAGGCACGTGGATGTTCACCCCTTTCTCCTGTTTGTTCCCGAAGCGGTGTGGCTGCTTTTTTAATAGTTGCGATGAGCCGTGGAAGGTCATCTGCACAGGCTGGTGGCCCTTCCAGCACCCCCAGCGCTCAACTTGATATTCAATGGCCACTAATTTCCAGGGAAGGGGTAATTCACATCCGCCACTGAAGCGAGCTAGTTTTACAACTGAGGCCTCTGGCAGTGGCACGTCTGGTGACGGTGGCTGCATTTTAGCCGCAGTCACCCCAACCTGCCCCAGCACATCATCCAGCGCAACAGCTCAGAGCCAGCATCATCCCAGTGAGCAGAAAAGCTGAAGAGAAGACAGTAGAGGTGTTAGACGAAAGCCCTGGGACTGCCACTGGTGGAGCATACTTGCACCCCCCACGCACACAGACCCCACTTCCACTGTGATCCCTGCTCCCACGGCACCAAGCATCTCCGGGGAGCAGCATCGGTCCCCACGTCAACAGCCTGTTTAGGATGCGCTGACTTCAGTCAGCTGAATCGAGGGGATGCTCGTACACAAACGCTGACCAGGAGGAACAGCTTTACTGACGGCTCTTAAAGCATCCGGGCAGAACTTAAGGCAGCATCTAAAAACCCCGGCCCCATGGCTCTGCCTGCATTTACACCAGTGCAGCGATCCCGATTTTGGCGTGACGGCGCTCACGGCCGCTTCGCCCAGCTCTGCTCTTTAGCAGCGGGTTGATCTCCCGGGGAGGGCTGGGGCTCAGCACCGGTGGCTGTACGTGACTGCTTAGACTGAACTGAAGAAAAGCAAGTGGGTTAGTAGTCTGGTGAGAGAGAGTGCCCCAACCCAGCGCTCCCCATCTCGCATTTAGCAAAGGGGGACAGAGCAGCAGGTGAAGGACAGAAGCAGAGTGTGGGGGATGTAGAGGGAGAAGGGATGGAGGAGATGAGAAGGGCCAGATCCGAGCTGAGCTCTGCTCTGCCAGGCTTGCACCTGCCTCCAGCCTCTTTGGAAGAAATACTTGCCAAAGCCAGAGGAGCGGATATGGGATAATCCATCCTCGCGCTCCCCACACTGGTATTTAGTCTCAACAGCTGTCCCAGCCCTGCTCTTTTCCAGAGCTATGGAAACGTATCGGAGATGTGGAGCAGCCAGCGAGGCGAGGGCAGCCCCGGCTCCGGCATTTGTGTCCTCGCCCGCTCAGAGATGCTCCAACCATTCTCTGTATTTGACTCTTTCCACCACCCCAAATGCTCTGGCGTTTCTGGTGCCGAGAACAGACACTAAAGCCACGCGTGGCCATGGAGTTCTTGGCTGCGGATCCGCAGTCCGCACACACAACACCCCCGGGCTTGAGAGGTCTTTCCTTACTCCCTGTAGGACACTTATTGCACCTAGTAGAAATTTACCTTAAATTTAGCAACTGCCCTCCTTCCCATCAAGACGTGACGGCCAGAGGGGCGTCAGCTCAGCCCGGGTGGACACCAGAGCAGACAAGGAGCCCTGGGGCACACACCCACGGAAGCGCATCCCATAACCCACCTGTATATGGAGATGTTCTCAATCAGCTCGTTCGTTCCGCTGTCATTTAACACAATTCCTCGGGGTGAGACTTTCAGAGTCACTTTCTGCAGTTTCTTCCCACTTGCTTTCGCCTTTGGAAGGAAAAGAGGGAGGGGAGAGTTACAGGCTTTTAACACTGATACATCCAAAGGTACATGAGCAGAGCAGAGACTGTAGATAGGCGCTGCCTAACAGGCATATTAATAGCACTCGTTAGTACTAGAGACTAAATTTACTACCAGGTGCGATAAGGCACTTGTTAAAACTTTTCCCTCCCTGAAGCAGTGATTTTTGCTAGCATTAATGAGACAAGGACATGCACCCTCCACCCCACACAGAGGTATTTCCAGCCCAGCACCCCCATGAGGATTTCCCCGCGGCCGTCAACACGAAGCAGTGGCTGCTCTGGCCGAGCCATGCGAGCACTTTGGTGAAACCTCTGGGATTTTTGTCTTTAGGGCCAGCTCCACAGCAGAGGGGCACAGCAGCACGAACAAGGGAGGATGGTTCTGCAGGACATGGGCTCCCAGGCTGTGCTGCCAAACCCCACTCAAGTGGTAAAGCATCCCCCACACCAAGGTCAGGACACCAGCTTAAAAAGTAACTAGACTTTTACGGGCCACTTTCTCTTATTTACTAGTCTCGTGCTTTCAGCCTTCAGGTTACATTCAGCTCACTGCCCAGCTTCTCCCCAGGAAAAAGTAAATGCACAGCTAGCTAGCTGCAGACTGCAGACCTGGATCCTCAGCCCTGCTTCCTGGGGACCTCACTTGAGCCGCATCCAGACTGGCCAGCGGTTGGTCCTGCCCCTCCGAGGCTGGCCTCAGCCCTGGGGCTTTTATTTAAAGGCTCCGTTCTCGGTCAGTCAGAGCAGATGTGAAGGGCTCTGCCAGCAGCTCTCGTTTCATGCGAGCACTCCCCTCCCGTCCAGCTCAGCACATGCCAGAAAAGGATCCATCATTACCCAGCGCAGTTTGCCACCCCGTTGAGTTTTATGACGGTTAACTGTACAATTGGGCCTTTGCCTCATTCAGTTTTATAAGGGCTTAAAGAAGCGTTAATTTTACTTGGAGCCCGGTGAGCAGGGGCTCCAGGGAGGCTTGGTGCGAGAGGACGGCTGAAAATCGGTCCCTCTTGCATCAGAGGTTACAGCGGGACGGCAGCTGTATTGGCTGGGAACGGGAGCAAGCTGTCCTCCTCCTTTCTCCTCTTAACCCTCCAAATACCAGGAAGGAAAACCCAGAACTGCATGCCTGCTCTTGGTCAGGCGCTGGCCGCACTCAAAACACTTTCCCTGCCTTGCAAGAAGAGAGATGACCCTGGGGAAGGCTGATTTCACCAGGTCAGAGGCTTCTTCCACACCCAGGGTCACCCAAAGCTTATCAAGGGGAGCCAGAGCTGTTACTCAGACATGTAACACCAGCTTTCTGCAGCCTGCCCTATCCACGGGCTGGGCTTGGTCCCAAGGGCTTCCCAGTGCTGCTCTCTGCATTGCTACTTACACCACCAGATGCCTGCTCACCCCTGGAAGGGCTGGACCTGCAATCCTGACACCCCTCAGCCTGCAGACCGACAGCACTGCCTCCAGACCTGCGGCTTTTGCAATTCTCCCCAGAGACAGACTTGTTTGAACAGGAGGAGGCAAGGCTTTGCTCCAGCACGGACACTCACGGTGGCGACGATCCTTTTGACGGCGGCCGCAGAGAGCTCCTCTCCCTTGGGCTGTTCCACCAGCGTCATGCCCATGTACTTGAGACTGAAGAGCATCCCCTCCAGCAGCGTCTCACGGGTATCGGTCCAGTTCTCCGGGAGCTCTAGAGACACAAAGAGGCTCTTAGATTCCCAAATGCACAAGCTGTGAGGTACGAGCAGGGCGTTGGTTTAGCTACTGCCTGGACGCCCGTGCCCGAGTGGCTGGGAGACCTCTCGGTGCTGCCACGGCTCTAATGCAGCCCTGAGGGAAGGAAATGGGGCAGAGACAAGAAACACTCCCCAAAACTTCTTCCACGAGCCACAGCAAATGGTAGCGACCCTTTAAGATCCCTCAGCTCCTTGGTTTAATTGTGAGTGTCCAGGCCCACATGGTAACCACGGGGATCCTGAGCATCGGCCCCAGCCAGGCACAGAGGAGGGCTTGGTGCCGCTCCAGGCACGGCAGTAACCTTACCCTGTGCTAACCATCACCGACCCACTGAGGCTAAGACGGGATTTGCCGCTAGCTAAGCCCACATGCAGCTGTGGGGATCCAGGTGATGTGCTGCGACTCGCTAAATCGGTCACCAACAGCCCTGAGGAGCCCATCGCGGGGGTGAAGCCTCACCGGGGAGAGGTGTCTGCTCTCCCCAAGATCACCGAGGAGGCCACCAGCCTCCTCCCTTATGTCCTGGGGGGCGGGAAAGAGGGTCCTAAATACAGACATACGTTTGGGACCAAACCAGAAGTCAGGTGAGTATTTCTAAGCCTGAAATTGCACCACAGGATCTAACCTCCAGGCATGGAGCTGATAAAGCTGCAGATCCTGGGTTAAGATCCAGCAGGATCTTGCTTTGAGCAGGAGGCAACAAACCACAGACCTCCTGAGATGCCCGTGGCCCTGGGGAGCAACAGGGCTCTCAGACAGGAGTCTCTGCTCGCTGCAGACAAAACACGTCCCTGAAGGCTTCGCTGCCTTGTATTCAGCCTCCTTCGGCTGCCTCCAAGCAGCAAGGCCAGACTGCAGCTCCCTGCAAACCTGCAGCGCCGGGAGGGCAGGGCTGTGGGGATGGACGCGCCCCTGGGGTGACCCCCCGTGACTCAGCCTCCCGGTGAAAGCAAGACAGGCAATAAGCCATAAACTCCGGCACTGCTCCCAGCGCCGGGCGCGGGTGCCGAGCGGTGAACCACCCTGGCCAGCCCGGCACTGGCCAAGGTCGCAGCGACAGAGGCTGGGTGGGAGCGGTCCCTTGGGGAGACAAGAGTGCGCAGGGGGGTCGGGGCTCCGGTCCCAACCCCGAAGAGGGAAAGGGAAAGCCAAGGACAGGTGGGATGCTGCATTCACCTTGTGTCCCAGCTAGGAACAGAGGGTGCACGCAAGAAGCCTGGATTTCTCAAAAGCCAAGGGT